CCGATGTTGGGTGCATATATGTTTAAAATTATTATGTCTTCTTGATGGATTGACCCCTTTTGACCATTTTTAGCTTAAAGTCTGTTTTGTCTGATATAATACAGCTATTTCTGCTTTCTTTTGGTTACCATTTTCTTGGAATATCATTTTCCATCCCTTCACTCTCAGTCTATGTGTGTCTTGAAAGCTAAAGTGAGTCTTTTATAGGAAGCAGATTGTCGGATCTTTTTTTTAAATCCATTCAGCCATTGTATGCCTTTTGATTGGAGAACTGAATCCATTTGTGTTTAAAGTGATTATTGATACGTAAGCACTCACTATCACCATTTTAATTGTTTAATTTAATTTTATGAATTTTTTTCTGACTGCTTTGTAGATCCTTTGCTCCTTGCTTTTTATTTTACTGTCTTCTGTTGTGACTTGATGACTTTTTGTAGTGGTAGCTTTGACTCCTTTATCATAATCTTTTCTACATTTCCTACAGGTGTTTTCTTTATGGTTACATGAGAGTTACATAAAATATCTTATATTTATAACAACCTATTTTAAGCTGATAACAACTTAACTTTGATAGCATACATAAAGTTTATAATTTTACTTCTTTCTCTCTCACATTTTAGGTTACTGATGTTAAAATTCACGTGTTTTTTATACTTGTATCCACTAACAAATTATTGTAGTTATGGTTATTTTTAATGTGTTTGGTTTTTTTTTAAATTTTAAACTAGAGTTGTAAGTGAATTATGCACCACGATTACAATACTAGAGAATCTGACTTTGACTAAATATTTACCATTACCAGTGAATTTTACACATATATTCATGACATTAATTAGCATCTTTTTTTTCTACTTGAAGAATGGGATGCCCTTAGCATTTCTTGTAAGACAGGTCTAGTGGTGATGAACTCCCTCAGCTTTTGTTTATTCAGAAAAGTATTTTATCTCTTTGTCATTTCTGAAGGATAGCTCTGCTGGGTATAGTATTCTTGGTTGACAGCTTTTTCTTTCAATATTTTGAATATAGCATCTCTTTCTTTCCTGGCCTGCAAAGTTTCTGTTCAGAAATCTGCCCCTCGTCTTATGGGGGCTCCCTTGTATGTGACAAATCACTGCTCTTTCTGCTTTCAAAATTCTCTCTGTCTTTGACTTTTGACAATTTAATTATAATGTATCTGGGTGTGGCCCTTCTCAGGTTCAAGCTATTTGGAGTCCTTTGGGCCTCATGGAACTGGATGTCCATTTCTGTCCCCAAGTTTAGGAAGTTTTCAGCAATTATTGCTTGAAATGCACTTCCTATCCCTTTCTCTTTCTCCTCTCCTTCTAGGATTCCCATAATGCATATATTGTTTTGTGGGTTTTTTTTTTTTAATGATATCCCATAGGTTTCACAATTAACATTTTATTGTGTTTGCTTATCACTAATCTATCCATCTGCCCGTCTTTATGCATCCACCCATCCATATTGCTTTTGATATATATGAAAGTAAATTTCAGACATCAGTGCACTCCCCCTAAAGACTTCTCTGTGCGTATCGTTAACTAGAGCTCAATATGTGTTTACAGTTTTTCTTCTTTCCAGGTAAAATGGATACACAATGAAGCACACATATTTTAATTGTGTTTTTACTGACTTTTGACAAATGCATATAGCTGTGTGACCAAATCCTTATCTACTTGTATAACATTACCATCACTCCCAGAAAGTTCCCTCATGCTCCTTCCCAGTCAACCTCTGTCCCTACTCCCTCACCAGCAACTACTGCTCTGACTTTTTCACTATAAGATTATTTTTACTACTGGATTCCTACTGGAATCATAAAGTATGTACTCTTTTGTGTTGCCATCTCTCATTAAGAATAATTATTTTGAGACTCATCGACAATTTTGCATGGATCAACAGCTTTTTCTTTTATGTTGCTGAATAGCCTTCCATCATATGGACATAATAAGTTGGTTTATCCATTTTCCTTTTGATGAACACCTGGGCTATTTCCAGGTTTTGGCTATTATAAGTCAATATGAATGTTGTTGGATAAATCTTTTGTGGACATATGGTATAATTTTTCTTGATTGAACATCTAGGAGTAGAATTGCTCAGTCCTAGGTTACATATATATTCAGTTTTATTTAAAAAAAAAAAGAAACACCACCTCCAGACCTTATCCCAAATTGATTGTAGCATGTTCTGTTCCCACCCACAATATATGGAAATTCTGGTTGCTCCACGCGCTTGCCAGCGTTTGGTGATGTGAATTGCCTGTAAGCTTTTATACTGGGGTCTTTGTACAGACCTGTGAGTAGGTTTGTGTGGTAGATGCCTGGAAGAAGAATTGCGGGGAGAGTATACACCTTTAAAGTATTGATAGATTTTCTCATTTCCTCTGAAACGGTTTGAAAATTGATATTTTCATTAGTGGCATACAAAATACCTCCCCCTTGGGGCTGGCCCCATGGCCAAGTGGTTAAGGTTTCACACTCCACTTTGGCGGCCCAGGGTTTCACTGGTTCGGATCCTGGGCACAGACATGGCATCACTCATTAGGCCCTGCTGAGGTGGCATCCCACATGCCACAACTAGAAGGGCCCACAGCTAAAATGTACAACTATGTACTGGGGGGATGTGGGGAGAAAAAGCAGGAAAAAAAGAAGATTGGCAAAAGTTGTTAGCTCAGGTGCCAATCTTAAAAAAAAATTACCTCCCCATATTCTCAACCATACTGAATTACTTGCTTAATCTTTTTTGTCAAAACAGCTTTACTAAACACCTGTTACATGTGGACCATAAGGATAAGGCAGGGGAAAAAACAGATAAATCCTTTGCTCTCGTGGAGCTATAGTCTAGTGGGAAAAGACAGAAGACCAAATAGGACGCAAATACAGAACATGTCATATAGAGATATGGGCTCTGAAAAAATAACCAAGGCTAGGCAAGGGGATGGAGAATGATTTGTTTTCATATGTAATTGCTTATGTGTTTATTTGCTCTTTTTATTGAGTTATAATAAAATATATTATGGTTATAGTAGTATTATAGTTAGAGTTCTCGTAAAATGTACACATTCAGGTGCACAGCCAGCTGGAGTTTTACATTTGCATGCATCTGTGTAGGCACCAGCAGGAAGACCTATAGGGCGTGTCCAGTTCTGGGCATGAGTCAGAAGATGGAATGCCACTATAGGGGTAAACATCAAAGCGAACAGACTCCAAGCAGGGGGACGAGGAATTGCAAAAGGCCAGGAGGGGAATGTGTGGCATGTCAGGGACATTAAGGAGCTGGCCTGCCCAGAACAGAGGGTGGAGGAAAGAGGGGAAGGAGATGAGGTCAGAGGCAGATCTTGTAGGTCCTACTAGACCACTATAGAATCTTGAATCTGTTTTTTTTTTTAAGGCAAGATGCTGTTGGAGGGTCCTGAGCTGAGAGATATCCATCATTTGGATATTATCTATTATTTGAATTTTTGCCAACCTATGGATGAATAAAATATCTTATGGTGGAGAACATTTGTTCAACGTCATGCAGTCTGAATGCCTCCACTTACTATTCAGTTGGAGTACAATGTCTTTAGTGAGTAGAATAACTTTTGTTTTTTTTTTGAGGAAGTTTAGCCCTGAGCTAACTGCTGCCAATCCTCCTCTTTTTGCTGAGGAAGACTGGCCCTGAGCTAACATCTGTGCCCATCTTTCTCTACTTTATATGTGGGACACCTGCCACAGCATGGCTTGATAGGTGATGCATAGGGCCGTGCTTGGGATCTGAACTGGTGAACCCCAGGCCATTGCTTACGAACACAGTGTACGAACCTAACCACTACACCACCGGGCTGGCCCCACATCTCGACTTTTTTCTGGTGTACAGTTCAGCAGTGTTAAGTATTCATGTTATGCAACCATCACTACCATCCGTCTCCGGAACTCTTTTGATCTTGCAAAACTGAAATTCTGTACCCATTAAACAATAACTCCCATTTCCTCCTCCCCAGCGTCTGGCAGCCACCATTCTACTTTCTGTCTCTATGAATTTGCTTGTTCTAGGTAACTCACACAAGTGGACTCATGTGGTATTTGACTTTTTGTGATTGGCTTTGTCAACTTAAAAAGCGAATTTTCCTGGTACTTTATCCTTGAAACAAGTTACTTCAGGAATACCCAAAAGAATTGCAATTCAGGAGGTGCATGCTATGGCCAATCATGGGCAAAGCCAGAAAACAAAGGAGAGAGCTGCTTTTATAGAGAAAAATGGGGAGAGGCAGGGGCTGTTCTAAAGGGAAGTCCATTGGGGAAAGTAACAGATGAGGGCAGGAACAGCTTCTCATTGGCTGAGCTGCAGGGTTTCTGATTGGCTGGGCTGTGGCATTTCTGATTGGCTGAGTTGCAGCGTTTCTGATTGGCTAGGTTGTCGCTTTTCTGATTGGCTGAGCTGTGGTGTTTCTGATTGGCTGGGCTGTGGCATTTCTGATTGGCTGAGTTGCAGCGTTTCTGATTGGCTAGGTTGTCGCTTTTCTGATTGGCTGAGCTGTGGTGTTTCTGATTGGCTGGGCTGTGGCATTTCTGCTTGGCTGAGTTGCAGCGATTCTGATTGGCTAGGCTGTGGTATTTCTGACTGGCTGAGTTGCGGCGTTTCTGATTGGCTAGACTGTGGCATTTCTGATTGGCTGAGCTGTGGCATTTCTGATTGGCTGTGCTGTTGCCAGCTCGGGAGAGAAGTCTCCCGGCAGCAGTAACTAGTTTTACTTCCTGTCCAAGACCCAAGCGTCAGTCTCTTCCTGTTTGGTGTAGTTAAGGATGTGTCGTGGGGCGTGAGAGCTGCCCCTGCAGGCCTGCCCAAGTCCAGTTTAGTTAAGGCTTCTTTGTTAATTTGCACAGCTTATTTCACTTGGGGTACCGTCCTCAAGGGATGCTATGGCTGTATAAGCCATTTTGCCTAAGTCTGTTCTGCTGCTGCTGTTTGACTGTGTCTAACACCCACCCTCTCTTTCCTGGGGTGCTTGTTGGTCTTAGATACGTGGTCTTCCTGAAGCTGTTCCTGGAGACGGCAGAGAAGTACTTCATGGTGGGTCACAGGGTCATCTACTACATCTTAACCGACCGGCCGGCGGACGTGCCCCAGATCCCCCTCCAGGAAGGAAGGCGAGTGGTGATCCTCAAGGTCCGAAACTACACGCGCTGGCAGGACGTGGTCTTGCACCGCATGGAGATGATCAGCAACTTCTCCCAGCAGCGCTTCCTCCATGAGGTCGATTACCTTGTGTCCGCGGACGTCGACATGAAGTTCAGCGACCACGTGGGTGTGGAGATCCTGTCGTCTCTCTTTGGCACCCTCCATCCCGGTTTCTATGCCAGCGATCGCCAGCGTTTCACCTATGAACGCCGCCCATTGTCTCAGGCCTACATTCCGGAAGATGAGGGTGATTTTTACTATGCAGCAGCCTTGTATGGGGGGTCAGTGGCAGAGGTTTACCGGCTCGCCACAGCCTGTCACCAGGCAACGCTGATCGACAAGGCCAATGGCATCGAGGCCGTGTGGCACGAGGAGAGCCACCTGAACAAGTACCTGCTCTACCACAAGCCCACCAAGGTGCTGTCCCCAGAGTACGTGTGGGATGAGCGGATGCTGCGGAAACCGCCTTACCTTAGGAGACTGCGATACGTGGCTGTCCCCAAGAATCATGCACAAATTCGGAGCAGATGAGACCAGACTTTCCAGGAGACCCCACATATAAGGCTGTGGTATGCATCAGTGTTTCTACTTTTTGGATAAGGGATTGGCCAAAGATTCAATGAGTCGTCCCTCGGTTTCCTCTTCTGGAGTGGCTTCCACCACTCATCACACGAACCCAGCTCTGACTTTTCCTCCCCTCCCAGTCCAGCTTTCTGTCTCAGTGCTGCTCCTCCTTCAAGGTCCTGACAAAGTCACCTTCCCCGTGAAGTTTTCTTGGATTGTCTCCTCCTCCTGCAGTTGAAATGAATTGCCCCTCCCCCTGCATTTCCATAGAACACTGGATGTATTCCTTTGGCTATATGAGCCCTCATGCCCAAATTCCCCATTGGTCTTGCCCATCATGATGCTAGCTCCTGAGGGCAGAGGCTAAGATTTCTTCATCTTTATATCCATCAGTACCTAGCTGAGTGCCTTATGCCTGGAGACTCAAAATATGTTCACATCTAAATTAAAGTGACCTTTAAAAACCTACTCTACCGGTGCCGGCCCCGTGGCCGAGTGGTTAAGTTCGAGCACTCTGCTTCGGCAGCCCAGGGTTTTGTCGGTTGGAATCCTGGGCGCAGACATGGCGCCACTCATCAAGCCACGCTGAGGTGGCGTCCCACATGCCACAGCTAGAAGGACCCACAACTAAAATTATACAACTATGTACGGGGGGCTTTGGGGAGAAAAAGGAAAAATAAAAGCTTAAAAAAAAAAAGGAAAGCTATTCTACCATGTTCTGAGACAAGGGGGAGGCCCCGCCTGCAAGCACTTGCTGAGTTTGATTTGTTTGTGTTGTTTCTTGGTTGTTTGTCTTTGCTTACTGAAGTGGAGTGCGAAAACTTAACCACTTGGCCACCGGCCGGCCTGATGGTTTCCTTTTTGAATCTTCTCAGTAGCATTTGGTATGTGGTCTAGATAGTCTAGCAGATTGAATTCACAGCTCTTCATTATTTTCTATGTCCTGGGATATTTGAATAATCTTGAGCTTTGTTTTTAGTCAGAAAACCCATGGAACCAAGTGCAGTTTATGGCGGTAAATGTTTGATGAGTTTTTCTATCTCCTTCTATGGTACCCGAGCTCCTTCTGTTGTAATTTATTGAAGTTTCTACTTCTTGAGTCAGTTTTGATCATTTATATTTTCCTGGAAAATCTTCTATTTCATATTGATTTTTTAATTGTTGGCAAAAAGAATGGCAGTGCAATTTTGAAATAACTTTAAATCTCCGTATCTAAAATCATATCTTCTTATTTCTACTGCTGTTTATTTGTGGTTTCTCTCTCCTTTTTTCTGACCTTCTTACACAGGTATCAGAGATTATTTTATTTTATTTTTAAAAAGCATCTGGCCTACTATTTGTTTGTTTATTAAATGGTAGTGTCTGCTTTCATGCTTATTAATTTATTCCTTCAACTTTATTTTAGTTTATTTTTTCCTAGCATTCTTGAGTAGAATGCCTGGTTAACAGGGTCATTTATTGGGAACACTGCTTGTTTCTGAGAAAAGCACATGCCTTCAACTTTCTTTTTGAGTAGAGGGCAAGTTGTGTCCCTCAGGCATTTATATCCAGTGTCCACGTTGTCACTCATTTCTAAATAGTCTGCTTTTATTTTCTCTTTAACTCAAAATTATTTAGAATAGTAATTTTTAAATTTCTAAGAAGTTAGTTTTTTCCTTGTTACGTTGTTTGTTCCTGGATATATAGTTTTGTAGTAGGAGTAAAGTGAGCTGCACAATTTCAACTTTGGGGAATTCGTTGAGTTTCTTTTCTGGCTTACAGATGGATCACTCAAAAAATTTTCATGGGTAGTTGAAAGGAATCTACACAAAATGGTACAAACACTTTGGAGAATGTCTGGCAATTTCTTATAAAGCTAAATATACATCTACCATATAACTTTTTAAAAAATTTTTATGGAGTTAATGAAGGGTTACAATCTTGTGAAATTTCAATTGTACATTATTGTTTGTCAGTCATGTTGTAGGTGCACCACTTCACCCTTTGTGACGACTCTCCACCCCCCCTTCCCTTGGTAGCCACTAATGTGTTCTCTTTGTCCACATGTTTAAATTCCTCATATGAGTGGACTCATACAGAGATTATCCTTCTCTAACTGGCTTATTTCACTTAACATAATTCCCTCAAGGTCCATCCATGTTGTTGCAAATGGGATAATTCCATTCTTTTTTACGGCTGAGTAGTATTCCATTGTGTGTGTGTGTGTATATATATATATATATATATATATATATACTACATCTTCTTTATCCAGTCCTCAGTTGATGGGCACTTAGGTTGCTTCCACATCTTGGCTATTGTAAGTAATGCTGCAATGAACATTGGGGTGCATGGGACTTTTGGAACAGCTGACTTCAAGCTCTGTGGATAGATACTCACTAGTGGGATGGCTGGGTCATATGGTAGTTCTATTTTTAATTTTTTGAGGAATCTCCATACTGTTTTCCATAGTGGCTGCACCAGTTTGCATTCCCACCAGCAGTGTATGAGGGTTCCATTCTCTCCACAACCTCTCCAACATTTGTCACTATTTGTTTTAGTTATTTTTGTCATTCTAATGGGTATAGGGTGATATCTTAGTGTAGTTTTGATTTGCATTTCCCTGATGATCAGCGATGATGAACATCTTTTCAGGTGCCTATCGGCCATCAGTATATCTTCTTTAGAGAAATGTGTGTTCATGTCTCCTGTCCATTTTTTGATTGGGTTGTTCGATTTTTTGTTGTTGAGTTGTGTGAGTTCTTTATATATTGTGGATATTAACCATTTTTCGGATGCATGACTTGCAAATATTTTTTCCCAGTTAGTGGGTTGTTTTCTTGTTTCAATCCTGTTTTCCTTTGCCTTGAAGAAGCTCTTTAGTCTGATGAAGTCCCATTTGTTTATTCTTTCTATTGTTTCCATTGTCTGTGGAGACATGGTGTCCAAAAAGATCCATTTAATACTGATGTCAAAGAGTGTATGGCCTACATTTTCTTCTAGAAGGCTTATGGTTTCAGGTCTCACCTTTAGGTCTCTGATCCCTTTGGAGTTTGTTTTTGTGAATGGTGAAAAAGAATGGTCAGTTTTCATTCTTTCACATGTGGCTTTCCAGTTTTCCCAGCACCATTTGTTGAAAAGACTTTCTTTTCTCCATTGTATGCCCTCAGCTCCTTTGTCAAAGATTAGCTGTCCATAGATGTGTGGTTTTATTTCTGGGCTTTCAATTCTGTTCCATTGATCTGTGCACCTGTTTTTGTACCAGTACCATGCTGTTTTGCTTACCATACCTTTGTAGTATGTTTTGAAGTCAGGGATTGTGATGCCTCCTGTTTTCTTCTTTTTTCTCAGGATTGCTTTAGCAATTCAGGGTCTTTTGTTGCCCCATATGAATTTTAGGATTGTTTGTTCTATTTCTGTAAAGAATGTCATTGGGATTCTGATTGGGATTGCGTTGAATCTGTAGATTGCTTTAGGTAGAATGGACATTTGAACTATGTTTATTCTTCCAATCCATGTGCATGGAATGTCTTTCCATGTCTTTATGTCATCATCCAATTCTTTCAAAAAAGCCTTGTAGTTTTCGTTGTATGGGTCTTTCACTTCCTTAGTTAAATTCACCCCGAGGTATTTTATTCTCTTTGTTGCGATTGTGAATGGTATTGTGTTCTTGAGTTCCTTTTCTGTTAGTATGTTATTAGAGTATAGAAATGCTACTAATTTGTGCAAATTGATTTTGTACCCTGCAACTTTGCTGTAGTTGTTGATTACTTGTAAAATTTTTCCAATGGATTCTTTGGGGTTTTCTATATATAAGATCATGTTGTCTCCAAACAGCGAGAGTTTCACTTCTTCCCTCCCTATTTGGATTCCTTTTATTCCTTTTTCTTGCCTGATTGCTGTGGCCAGAACCTCCAGTACTATATTAAATAAGAGTGGTGCTAGAGGGCATCCTTCTCTCGTTAATGTTTTCAGGGGGATGGCGCTCAGTTTTTGCCCATTGAATGTGATGTTGGCTGTGGGTTTGTCGTATATTATTTTTATTATGTTGAGGTAGTTCCCTTCTATGCCCATTTTGTTCAGTTTTTATAATAAATGGTTGTTGGATCTTGTCAGATGCTTTCTCTGCATCTATTGAGATGATCATGTGGTTTTTATTCCTCAGTTGGTTGATGTGTTGTATCATGTTGATTGATTTGCAGATGTTGAACCATCCCTGTGTCCCTGGTATGAATCCCAACTGATCACGATGTATGATCCTTTTGATGAATTGCTGAATTCGGGTTGCCAAAATTTTGCCGAGAATTTTTGCATCTATGTTCATCAGTGATAATGGCCTGTAGTTCTCTTTTTTTGTGCTGTCCTTGTCAGGCTTTGGTATCAGCGTGATGTTGGCCTCAGAGAACGTGTCAGGAAGTGTTCCATCCTCCCTAAATTTTTGGAATAGCTTGAAAAGGATAGGTATTAAATCTTCTCTGAAAGTTTGGTAGAATTCCCCAGGAAAGCCCTCTGGTCCTGGGGTTTCATTCTTTGGGATGCTTTTGATTGCTGTTTCAATCTCCTTCCTTGTGATTGGTCTGTTCAGATTGTCTGCTTCTTCTTGACTCAGCTTTGGGAGATTGTAAGAGTCTAAGAATTTATCCATTTCCTCTAGGTTATCCATTTTGTTGGCATATAGTTTTTTGTAGTAGTCTCTTATAATCCGTTGTATTTTTGTGGAGTGTTGTTATTTCTCTTCTTTCATTTCTGATTTTGTTTATTTGAGCTTTCTCCCATTTTTTCTTTGTAAGTCTGGCTAGGGGTTTTATTTATCAGTTTTATTTATCTTCTCAAAGAGCCAGCTCTTTGTTTCATTGATTCTTTCTACTGCCTTTTTCTGTTTCAATAACATTTATTTATGCTCTGATTTTTGTTATTTCACTCCTTCTGCTGACTTTGGGCTTTGTTTGTTCTTCTTTCTCTAATTCAGTTAGGTGTAGTTTAAGATTGATTATTTGGGATTTTCCT